TTCAGAGCCTGGGAGGAGTCAGAAGGAAATTTCGGATTAGCTACTCAGTCCAACACTATTTCAACCTAACAGAAAAAGTTCAAAAAGGTCGCTAAACTAACTGTGTTGATGTCACGAGAACAACAAGAAACTATCCTTTAGGGGAGTTCGACCAATGAGGTCCCATCCTTGCTACCCCGACCTACTGGTAAAGGCGGGCTTAAACTAGTCGTAGACTCCAGCGGTCACATTTCAGAGGCGGACTCCCAGGCGTCGATCCAGGGCGAGTGTAGACCAAACTTTCTAAAAGGTCACTCCAGGCCACCACGCACTGCAAAAACCGCTACCCTCATACTATTGATTACGTGTGCCAACCCCCGATCCCGCCGCCAACGGACCACGGCGGGATCAGAGCCCCGTGAGGATCGCAATATAATCTTCCGCCACAGACTGGGCGTAAGGGAGCCCCAGCTCCGTGCGTAACCGCCACACTACTCTTCCCTCCTATTGATCCTTAGCAGTTCTTGGCCAGTTGATCCAAGGCACAGGCCTTCTAGGTTCTAACGCGCCGCGATATCGGATTTTACGTGGATACATATCGTGCACGTCCACCTCAAAACACATTGGTATGATCATGACACTCGCGTACCCTATTGCTCTCCTCAGAAGAGTAGCAACCTCTGGGACTTTCTGCCATCTAGGTGTCTACCCTTAAACCGTGAATACAAAGAGGTCTACCCGTCATTCACGCAATAGTACTACCTCCTTCGCAAAGACAGCATGTGATGAGGAACACTACCCCCGCGATGTCATGCAGTCCCCTTGGCTTTCCCGAACGAATGATGCCAGGAAGGACGTCTGTACAAAGGCGGTTCATAAAAGGCGAGACGAATGTAGTTGGTCTTTCAGTCGTTTGTTAGGTGGAATTATTCATACAATCCCTGACCACATTTGAAGACCAGCCTTCCTTTAGACACAGAACGTATGGGCGCACGTTATTCGTCTGATATAAATGGACACACAGAACGGGACTTTTCCGTCGTGTCGCTCTTCGTGACCAACAATGCTGGCGCCTCCTGCCTCTGCCTCCGGTAGGGACGGTTTTGACAGTGTTGTAGCCATTCTTCATCGTGGCTATGCAAACGCCCTTCCACCGAATCGGCCCATATGCTTCGCGCTTGCCTGCATGGAAGACGCTTTGAAGCTGTGTGTAACATAATTTCTAGTGATGGCTTTCTTAGCGCCTGCGAAGACGAGCAGAAGTGCTAGATATGAACCAAGGATGATCTTTGGCTAGTGGCCTTGTGAAAACACACCTGGTTCTGAAAGGTGCCGCCAGTTATCTTGGAATGTGAGAAGGCGGGCCAGTCGTTGCCGGTATTCTCCCTCGCTAAGCTCGGTTATATCTCTCGACCTGGGTCGAAAGAGTTCGAACACTGTGTCCGATTCTCCATTGAGAGGAAGCACACTATGAAGGCCAGTCTGTCTATATACCGACAGCTACACAAACTTGGCTGCGCTCCAGAACCGGCTCTCAATTTTCGAACATTATAACGTCTACTGCAAGCACTCGGGGCAAGCCTTTGTCCCAATCGCTTTAGCCCCTCGGCTGTTCTGTGAGTGCCTCGCCGACACCATTGAATATGTTCACACATGAGACATTCGCTTGGTGAAGCGTGATGGACCTGCGATCTTGTAAGGCCGAAGAAAAGTTGATGAGGACCGTGCATGTTTCACTGTAGAAGTTTCGATCAAGCGGCTTTGCCATAGCACAATCTTTAGACACATTTGTGATACAAATGAGGTTGACGTCGAAAGACTCCATCACGTTGGTCGTTATCCCTCCACTCTAGTGTCCCGAGTTCTGCAAGAAGCTCAGTGCTAAGTGGTTGGAGATGTGGCAAGGAATGGTTCTATCGAAGCTGCCACAAATATAAATCAGAAACCATGAGTAGTCGCATCATGTGCGCGTACACAACGTTGCTTACGATTGGACTGGTCTGACTTTGAACTGAGATGGGTCCTCCACAGATGCACCACCTGGGGAATTTCGTGAGTCTTAATGAGCACGTAGAGAACTGGACACACAGGCAGGTCACATTTGAGCCGCGTAATGATGTTCCTAGAAGACTGGCCGTGCGTGCCAGCTCAGTCCACACACTATTTGAGCGGCGGTACTGCTTGGTGAACTCTTCATGAGTAGAAGGACAATAAACCGTTCTATCCTGAAGGTGAGCCCGTGTGATAGCTCTGTCCATTGCCTGTGACAGAACCACAAATTCTCCGCCTTTGTCGCTCACGCTTATCTTTATGGCTCCAAACAGTGAGAGCTCTAAGTTCTTTCAACCCCCGACTCTGAGCCGAGGTGAGGTTTCTGACAGTTCGTTTACCGATGTTACGACGCAATAACGCAAACAATGAGTCGGCGAAAATGCGGAACTTCGAGTCCATTTCTGGGTTGGGTGCCTGAGGCCCCAGATATGTGGCGGGGAAAGGTGGGGGCGGTATGCCACAGCAGCTGACGGTATTAAACCCCTCGGGCCGACTATCGATCCTGGCCCTTTGTCGCAGTCTGTCGTGCAGTGATTGTAGGTTGCCGACGATTTTCTGCGTCACGGTCTTACATAGCGAGCGGCTGGGAGAGAAACTAGGTCCCATATCCAAGAGTGATAGCGCCTCCTCAGACAAACTGACGCTACCAATCATCTGTCGTGCAGTGATTGTAGGTTGCCGACGATTTTCTGCGTCACGGTCTTACATAGCGAGCGGCTAGGAGAGAAACTAGGTCCCATATCCAAGAGTGATAGCGCCTCCTCAGACAAACTGACGCTACCAATCAAAGTGACCCTTTGGTTGTCCCTATCTCCCCCACTTCCACCAGTAGCCGGGTTACACCTAAAGGTTTCATTGTGGACTTGTGTGTGTGCCCCGTGACATCGTTTTTCGTCTACTAACCTATTGAACTTCCCCTGTAGTTTTACTTTAGTGTTTGAACGAATAGAATCGCAAATGATCTTCGACTCACCCACGATGCTCCTCCAGAGACGACTTGGCAGCAGTCTTTCACAGCATATTTCTTTAGATACACACTTGTTGAGCAAAGTATACATATAGTCTCGCTTGCTCCTCATCGCCATTCGTAGGATATGCGATTCGAGTGCCTGTAGTCGTTGATCGCCTCTTGCTTTGCCCAAGGTCTCGTCCAATTTCTTCTGTTTTATGAAGTTTGGTATTATCTTCTGACGCAGGCATCGGTGGAGGAAGTGGATGGCCTGTCTAGTCAAGACGATCTTTTGCCTCAAGGACAGGACTTCCATCACGAGTCGACTGTAGTTAGCTGGTACTTCTCGAAGTAGTGTGCAAGTGCGACTGTCGATAAATCTTGGCATGGTCTTCAGTACTGACAGTAGATTGATTTAGCTCCAACCAAGATTGTTATGAAAAGTTTATTCGGCTGACGTTTCGGCGTCGTCGCCGTCTTCAGAGCCGGAGGCAGAGCAAGGAGGGCCGCACTTGTTGGTCACGAAGAGGAACGAGGAAAAGTTCCGTTCTGTGTTCCATTTATATCAAACGAACTAAGTGCGGCCATACCTCTTGTCTAAGGAAGGCTGGTCTTCAAGATGTGGTCAGGATTGTAGATATTCCACCTACAAACCTAAAAGGACAACTAGTTCGTAATCGCCTTTATGACCGCCTTTGTACAACTCCTTCCTGCATCATATGTCCGTTCGGAAAGCAAGGGGACTGCATGACATCGGGGGTAGTGTACCTCATCACATGCTGTCTTTGCAAAGAGGAGTATATTGGTGAAACGGGTAGACCTCTTTGTATTCACGTTAAGGAAGACCTAGATGGCATGAAAAAGTCCAAGGTTGCTACTCCTCTAGGAGAGCATAGGGTACGGTGTCATGACAACATGTGTTTTGAGGTGGCCGTCACGATATTATCACGTAAATCCGATATCGCGGCGCGGAGAACCTTAGAGGCCTTCTGGATCATGGCCAAGAACCCTAAGATCAATAGGAGGGAAGAGTGTGTGGCGGTTACCACGAAGCTGGCTCCCTTCGCCAGTCTGTGCGGGTTTTGATCTACGGGGTCGATCCCCCGTGGTCCGTTGCGGCGGGGTCGGGGGGTTGGCACAGTAATCAATAGTGTGAGGGTAGACGGGTTTTGCAGTGCGGGTAGCCTGGAGTGACCTTTTGAGGAGTTTGATCTACACGATCGACCCTCGGGAGGTCCCTCAGGAAAGTGACCTGGAGGTCTACCTATTTAAGCCGCTTTGCCAGTAGGTCGAGGTAGCAGGTGGACCTCATTGGCCGACTCCCTAAAGGTTAGTTCTTGTTGTTCTCGTGACGTCAACACAGTAGTTTACGACCCTTTTGAACTTTTTCTGTAGGTTGTAATAGTGTTGGATGAGTAGTATCGAAAATGTCTTCTGACTTTCCAGGCTCTGAAGACGGCGACGACGCCGAAACGTCAGCCGAATAAACTTTTCATAACAATCTTGGTTGGAGCTAAATCAATCTACTGTCAGTACTGAAGACCATGCCAAGATTTATCGACAGTCGCACTTGGACAATCTAGACACTGTCCCGGCCCACTTGTTTTTGCGGGATTTTGATATTTTTGCAAAATTGTTGCACGTTTGGACTGCTACGTGAAGCTCCGCCTCTGTGAGAGGCCTTGCCCACTCTGAAAAAGCCCCGCCCACTTTTTAAAGGTGCAAATCGGAAGTATTAGGTCTCGGCTGGCATGCTAAGGTATTGCTGATGATTCGGAACAAACTTTGCCTGATTTCCTTGGTCCGAGTGACGAACGAGACCCTATATGCAAGCCAAGACCCTACACTGCCGACTTGCACCATCTTTGAAAAGTGATCGGGGCTTCTTCCAAGTGGGCGGAACCTCTCACGTTAGGCAGGGCTTTCTGGAACAGTCCAAAAATGCAAAAACATTCAAAAAAAATATCAAAAAGCAAGTGGACGTGGCCAAGAGGACAAAGCGTAGGTTGCAAATTCTTTGGAGAATGGGCGGAGTCGGCCATGTGTCGACGTCCAGTCGTTTTCTGTCAAAGTGTTTGTGGGGAAATAGCAAAAGGCAAGAAAAGTCACAGAAGCAGAAGTTATGAAACAAGGTTTGAAAATCAATGTGCGCGCTGACAAATAGGCGTGGAGGTCGGGGCGGGTCTCGCAGTGGTGTCCGGCGTGATGGTTGATGAATTGCCCGGCCTAATAAGTGCGGTGAATTTGGTTCGAAAAGTTGTGAATCTGGTTTGAAAAGTGGTGAATTTGAAGTGAAAATAGTATATAATTTTTTTCTGCCAAACGCTCGAAACGCTAGTAGACGCGGCCGCGAAATATGCGTCCACTAGCGTACAGCCTTACTGACCTTCTGAGAAGTTTTCTGTTGGGAAAAAATTAACAATATAAGAAAGCAAATTACCCTAACATCATCGTAGAGCTCTATTGCACAGTAGCCTATCATGCCGAGCAGCAAAAGACAGAACAGTGTGATCAGCACCACTTCGACGGAAAATAATCGAGACATGGCAAATCCAGCAGCCAAACCAATTGACTCCCAGAAGCGATAATTGGTGAAGGCAAGCTCAAGAGATTGTCTGCCAACAAGAGCTACCCAGTATCCTGAAAGAGTCGCTTTTGTTTAAGAAATCTGCCCGGTGAACTTGAGACTGAGCTCTCTGAGAAGAGCTGCCAGCTAAGATGCTGATCGGAATCAGACATTGAAAATCATCATATCTAAGAAAAAGAGGTCCACTTTTCTCTTCGCGAGGAATTCGCATCTCTTGACTGGAGGTATACAGGGGGGGGGGCAAAAAAGTCTCTTCTAACGAGTCACATATCAGCAAAGTTTTCGCTGCCCAGACAGAGGACGTGGATACGAGTACCAGGGCGGAAGATACCCAAGATGTTCCTCTACAAGCAGGAGCTGGCTCTCGTCCATCACCTTCATGTACACCGAAATATGAAGTCATCTCCAATCGCAGCCTGACTGGAGAAGACCTTTGGGATTCATGTTCCTCCAAACAGATGCGAAACTTCTAGTATGGAGTCACCCATGGATAGCTACCTGGAGACCAGTATTTCGATCTGGATGACCTCCAACGTCGAGCAGCTCCGACAACGTCTAGGCCATCATCTTCACCACAGTCGTCAAGGCGCGAGTTGATGGTATGGACCTGACGTAGGAATGGAAAGACCAATATTTTATTCGTGGGCCCCTAAGGACTGAAGGTGAGCGCCAGCGGTTACATTGAGCAACTCGTTAAGAATATCCTCCTCACATGTCGTCGTCTGTACCTTCCTGGAAACTTTGTACTGCTACAGCATTGGGTGCCACCACATAGAATCGAAGGGCGTTGGAGAAACTCTAGCCTACTTGGGATGGAAGGGGGCTGGGTACCTAAAGAAGATGGAATATACAAGCAGGTCACCTGACTTGAATTCTCTCAATTAACCGGTTCGGGCGGAGTTCAACAGGGCGGTCTACGGTGGCGGAGAAATCGACTACCTCGCTGATTTCAGGCACCACATCGCGGTCGCGCGCGAGAATCTCCCCGAGTCCAGAAGCCTGTGGCGGAGTGTGGTGATAGTATTGAATATGCTCCTCAATATGGGGGTGAAAATGTCTGATGAGAATTCAATAAAGTGTAATTTATAGCCCCTCGAAAGATGAAGAAGAGTGACATTTTTTTGCCCCCCTGTACTTGAGTTACTTCTGTTGTTTGCTAACCACAAATGTCGAGATGTGTTGCCCCTGCTCCAAATGTCGATGCGTGCCGTCTATTTATTGTGAATGGAAAACGCGTCTATCTAGTTTTGAGTTGAAGTTGATCGCGGAATTTTTCAGATCCAAGCGTCATTACCCGGAGCAAGTTCCAGCTAGCTTCGGCCAGGTCGTAGGAATGCTCGGTTGATCCATAGTCCATTCTCAAATTTGCCCGAAGGGCCTGCTCCACGGCTGCAACTGCTCTTTGTTATAACTGTGCTAAGCAATGCTGCTTCGGAAACTGCGAAAAATCATGTTGTCTAACTGGGAAATTGCGATGTGAGCACCTCAGCCATCACACTGGTCTCGGTGACGACTACGTAGTTCGCAGTAGAGCATCCCACTGGAATCCCATGTGTAACAGAAAAATACTTCTTCTTTGTCGGCTTTCAGAACTTTCGGCGATGGTTCTTTACAAAAATTTCCTTGCGCTTACGCTTATGGCTAGCAGCGTAGCGAATCTTTTCTTCGTCTTCAAAGACAGTTCATTGGACTACTAGTGCTCATCTACGGACGAATAGCAGCATTTTTTGAATAAAATCACGAGCAAGATATTTTGTTCAAGTTAAAGGTTCGTTGATGTTGAGGTTTAGGTGTTGTTTACATTCCGAGACAACATAAACGGCAAGACTAGAGAGAATGTTTGCTTGCTGGGAAGCCAGAGTTTTTCTGCATCAGCATTTAGAAACCCTCGGGTTTCTAAAACTTTTCTGAAAGAGCAGGACTTTTTCTGCACGTTCCAAAACTGTCATTGATGATACCTGATAAACGATCCGCTGGTCCCCGGAAGAAATATTATCAATTCAGCGTTACAACAGACTCAGTAGTGAAGGACGTTTAAACTCAACGCATTACCGATGTTCCTGGTCGCTGCTGTGACTGACGGCTTTCGAGATACCCTCACTAGTCTACAGACCGCCAGGGTCCTGCTGGCTTAAAAACTTTTTTATTTCCTCTGGTAATTTTTCGATTAGTCGTAAAAACATCGTACACTTTGTAGTTTCCAGAACAAAAAGCTCTACCCAAGAACCTTCCAGAAAAAAAACCGATTCGCGAAATGGCATGTTCATATAGAAAAGTACTATGCAAACCGTTTATTTGAGTGTTCCATACACCATCTGCCATACCCCAGACAGTGGCAGCCACATACAGTATCGCTTTGTCAGCAGGATTCAGAGGCCAAATCTGGAAGAGCAAGGAACATGAAATGGTGACTCGAGTTTGAAAGTACTCGCAAAGTTAATTTTTCCTCTACAAACTCTTTTCACATATAATTGTTTATCTTTATGAAAAGATGGCGAGAAAGCTACCGCTCCTCAAAAAGCTGACTATGTACGACTCTAAGGTGGCAAGCCCTGCTCGGAAACAATGGCACGTTCCGAACCAAAATGGGCGTTTCAGATTGTTCAGGACACTCGCGAAGTGCGCACCCCTCGTGCCGACATAGCATGTTCGTGGTCGCTTTTTGTTTACCGAGTTTTATTCGTATTTTGAAGATCAGTAGAAGCTGTGATTCTTTCCAGCAGCTTGAACAAATTCCGTGATACTTCTAAACTTGAGATACGTGAGCGTTACCTCAGACAAACTTATGTCTGTTGTGACGAGATCATCCTGCGTGCCGCGCACCGTATCTAAAAGCAAATGCTGTTGGCTTGGCATCATGTCACCAACTATTTCGAAAATTTTACGAGCAGTCGGGGGAAGATGTCTTGCACGAAAACCGTTCCGGCGAAAACGTTTCACCCTGAGTGTAGGCAGGGCAAGTTACAGTCCTCATCGTTGCGGACTGGTGGGACGTGGCAGTGCGGCTGCGTTTGTTGCGGTTTGGAAAAGTCGTTCCGCACCAGTTTTTGAAGCGAACAAGTGCATTACTGTATAATGTCTTTCGTATTACTCGTTTTCTACCACTTTTTGTCGCATACGCGTTGCAACAAAAAGGCTGAGAACGGCTTCGTGCACACTCCTTCTGGCAGGCACGCCCCACCGGTCCGCAATGATGAGGAATGTATATGTTGGGGAACCAGCGAAAAAAAGTGGGGCATATGTGGTCGCTAGAAAAAGGGAGAGTGCCGAACATGTCTTTGTCTTTGGTTGCTGACTGTTGACTGGCTCCGGTTTATCCTGTTTCAAATGCGCTACACCACCCGCCCCCACCTGCGGGGCTTGATAGCAGTTTCTTGTGGAAAAAGAGTATGATTTTTGGAGAGTTGTAGGAGGTCGAGGAAATTGAGGAAGATGGTAGGTAGGATTGAGTTGGTGGGGGCGAGTAGCTCAAGAGGGTACAGTGTTACGGGAGTCGTACCAGAGGATAAAATTTTGAGTGGTAGCCCTTTGCAAAAATTTTCTCCAACGTCAGGACGTGCCCTATGGATGCTCATGTAGTTCGTGGTAGCAAGCGTTGGCGTTCAGCAAACCACGTCTACATGATAGCTAGCTTGAGGAAGCAACAACCACATTGTAGAAAGATTATGGTCTAACCATGAGACGCGTTCTCTGCTAGTTCTCATGGCATGACGTCGAATAACATGTATTGAAGGCAGCGCCCCATTCATTTGATGTTCCTACGCCCTCCTCAGATATCATAGCTTTGTCGACAAGGTGGAGGATGTAATAATTTCGCAGCTCGAAAGTACAAGAGGATGGGATCACCCGCTTGTGAAGAGGATGCCGCCCCGTCCACCTGGCTGCCATATGTGCTCTGGCTTAGCCTCTGAAGGATGAACCCGCTTTCGAGAATAATGGGTTATGTTATGTAGCTCATACAATGCGTGATCCAGTAGTGAAGAAGAAGAAAAAGCAGAAAAAACCATGGAAAATACCCTGTATGGGACCCCATGCTGCTATGTGGGCTGAGCGGCTGACTCCTCACTAGCGAACGGCGCTATCCTCTCGCCTTTTTGAGATGCAGAACTAGTACTTACGCACTGCATCCTCATAGGGAGGGCTATGATATCCAGAGAGGGTGCGGGCACATCAAATGAACGTGAGCGCTGCTTTTAAAGACAAAAAAGCGAAGTTGAAGGGTCAAAAACCTGCAAAAATGCTCATGTAAAACATGACTAAGGAAGTGATTTTGGACGTTTCCGATTGGCGTCGCGCCAGTAACCGCTACACTGGGTACGGCTGCATGTACTATGTCCTCATATATCCATGTAGCACCGCAGCAGCTTCATATCTCGCTTCATAATGCGCAAATAAAGCGACACGAGCATCAGCACCGGTCGGACATTTGTGATCGGGGGTAGGGGCGGGTGCTGGTAGGGCGCTATAAGGGTACCTCCCTCAAAAAAGCGCTACCCGCCGACTGCTCAGAGGCGCCGAATCCTGTCCAGCTAGGCTTCTTAATCCGACACGTCTTGAGAATTTGTCGTGCCACTTGCCTTTAGCAGGCTGCTGTGATGCTCCAGTAGCATAGTGTTCACATATATCGAATTGTGTGCAAAGTATAGACGTTGTACTGACACCTGTCAAGTTAGACTACTAGAGCACCTGGCTGTATAACAGGTAGAAGTTCTCTCGATTCGAAAAGTCGAAAGGACAAGGAAAGCTCATTCCGTACCATCAGTGTCACTATCATCAGCATGTTGTTCACAGCTCCAAATACAAACAACGGCATTCGACCGAATAGCTTGATCAGTGGACCAAAAACTAGACTGCAAATTGCATCCGATATGCCAAATGCAGTGCAAACGAATCCTATTTGTGGTACACCCAGACCGCATCCAACGAATGCCTTGAAATTTATTTGAAATTATTTCGCGGTTGCTGGGTAACATTATTACAACCACTAAACCGTACCTTAGTGAAAATGCCAATTACAAATGCCTGTTCGACACCGTTGAAAACCGTAAGGGGTACCAGCAGCATGATCTTTGGATTCCGACAGTTCAACAGTGTTTGTTTCAAAATTGGGGCATCGAATATTGGAGCCTTGCCTCTGAAAATTATTCAATGTATAGGTTGGAAAGAAAGTCCTGTCACTGTTGTGATTTTTTCTTTTTTATTTTCTAACTTAACATGAAATAAAAACTTATCAATAATATAATGGCCATTGTTAGCCGCTACAGTGCTCCTCCTAATGGGCAACTCAGCTATCCCCTTCTCCCAGAACTGAGGAGGCTGCGAGTCGAAGAAGTAGGCAACTTCTCGATATATGCCATCAAATTCGCAGAAGGTTTTCTTACCTAGGAAAGCCTTGAGGGAGCGGAAGAAGTAGTAGTCGGAGGGGGCTAGGTCTGGAGAATATGGTGGATGGGGAACGGTCTCCCAGCCTAGCCCCTCAATTTGGCAGTGGGTCTCTGTAGCCATGTGGTCTGACGTTATCATGGAAGAGGTGCACCGAAGCTCGTCTCGGCCGCTTTTCTCGAGAAGCTTGCGCGGGTTTCCGGAGTTGGGCGGCGTAAACGGTAGTGGTAACCATATGCCCTTGCGGAAGCAGCTCGTAGTGCAGCATGCCCTTCGAATCCCAGAAGCAGCAGAGGAGGACCTTCTTGGAGTGCAGGTTCGATCTGGGTTGCGTATGCGGGTCTTCTCCTCGAGGGAGCCACATGGCACGACGTAGGCTGGAATCACAGAGGACCCAGCTTTCATCTTCAGTCACAATATCTTCCAGAAACTCCATTCGGTTACAGTGTAGAAGGAGGGAACGACAGATGCTAGCCCTGGCATACCGCGTGCCATCTGCTAGAGCATGAGGTATCCATCGCGTGGGGACTTTTCTGTAGCCAAGCGGGCCTGAAGGCAGCTTAGACCTGTTGTATGGCTACACCCTAGCCTTGTCGCAATACTGCGCGTGGTAGCCTCTGGATTCTCTCTGACAGTTCGAGAACGGCGGAATCTTCTACGCCCGCGAGGGAGTCCCAAACGAGGTTCCTCTCCGGAGATCGTCTCTCTTTCGCGAAGCGAGCGAACCAACGGTGGACAGTCCTGACGGTGGTGGTGTCCTCCCCCAATGCACAATTGATGTTACGGGCCACTGCCGTCGCTCCAGTGCCGCGGCGCCACTCATAGAAGATGGTCACTCGAAGCTGCTCCAGTGAAACTGACATCACAATAAACACAGGGAAGAGCAGGAGCCTTGATATGTACCTCTTGTGGAAAAGCTTCGAGAATGTTCTACAACCTTAGCATGTTACGTCAAGCTTCGAAGATCAAAAGTTCGAGCTTCGAAGATCAAAAACTGTAGGCTATCAAAAAAAAACACTGACAGGACTTTCTTTCCAACCTATAATTCACAATGAAGGTATACCAAAACGATGAGATTTCGGCGAGTTCTATTTAATCGTGGGCGCGGGGTGCGTCCTTCCATTTTAAAAATGTTTCAGAACAGGTGGGGCTTACAGCTTCTTAGGAAACGGATTTTGCACACTGTAGGTTTGCTAGATGCAAGAGGGGACAAAACACCAAGTGCACCAAGGAGAGACCAGGTAAAAAGGACGTGAAATAGAAAGCAGAGAGGAGGTGCTTCGGGTCCACAGTACTCTGAAGATCATAGCACTCAACTCTCCGCAATTTTCGCCATTGAGAGGGTGCCTGAAGAGTATCCAAAGATGTGCTTTCCATCTCATGAGCGTTGTTTAAGGGCACGATCCGTGATAAAAACCCTAGGTGATTTTGCAGAAATGTGGAAGAAAATTTGCCAAGTGAATCATCTGTGAAGAGAAAATGCCAAAGGGAACGTTGGAAACGCATTCGTTAGGCCTCCTTCAGTGTCAAACAACTGTAAAGGTAAAAGGTCGGAAAGACCACGCGCTGGGACAATCTCGTCGGCTGATCCCCACTAATGAACCCTATGACTCTACAAGAGACATTGAATGCATCCACTCCATGATACTTGGTCGGGAGCACCACTTTTGGCTGGAAGGCCGACTCTGGAGGCGGAGTCTGGAGGCGGAGTCACTGGTAAAAGGGATGTACCACTGGAGCAACTTTGCGCCTTAATCCCTTTACAGTACAACTTTGCGCCGCGAAACTGGCACAGGGTTGGCCACTCCGGACCGCACTACCTTCTCACATAACCTCTTGCATTTTCATAGGTCATCGCGGACCGCTCCTTCAAACAGAAGCTTCACCAGAGCGGCAAACCACTGTGAGTCAGATTAGTAAAGCGTTGGCTTTGTATGAATTATGGGAACTTTTGTACTATGCGAGAAAACTACAGGAAACTGTGCACATGCATACCTGTTAACAATATCTTTGTGCAAAGCATTTAGGAACATCGACACGATCATTACTGCAACGATGGCACATGCTAGATAGGTCAAGCATACTGAAAAAAACTCTAATGAAGAGTAGCTGAAAAATTTAGGTGAAACAGTTGTAGTCGCGCTGTTGTGATGCTTATTTCTGAGCAAACCTAGAGAGAAGTCCCTTCTTCGCTGCTACTATATAACTGTTTTTTTTTTGGTAAATGACGATCACTTTATGAACATATTACTGTGTAGAGCACGAAAGGAAACGGTAGTTGCTAACGCCGCGGCCAACGCTCAAGGACACTGGAGACGTGCAGCAGAATTGTCCGGGGCAGCGTCCGCCACACGCGGCGCGTCGTGGAGCGAACGACGCAGCAGCTCACGGACGTGCATTTGCTAGCCTATAGTTTTGCGATTGGAGCAACTGGTTTACTACAGCGTACATCAGTAACGTTTACCAGATTTCATCAATAGCTGAAAATCTATGGATGCTTTTCTCGATAGTAACACACAACTGTTTGGCGGATCAATAGACGCAACTTCAGGAAATAAACAAATACAAAAGAAATCAAATAGGGCCGTTATCTTCCCTATAGTTATGTGGTTCACATTATTCGCGCAGTCGTCAGCGTCAACATTCAATAGAGTCAAGTTTTCGTTTCCTGTGAGCTGCTGTAAAAGATGACACACCGGAGCAGATGTTAAGAACCCTAATGAAGTTCATGCTCTAATGAACTTTTTCCTGTGGAAAACAAAAGAGAAACTGAAAACATAACCCTAATGGTAAGTGAACAAAAGACTCGATCTGATACCATTGATCAATACGGTGTTATCAATCTCTTCCCTTCAGTATCCCTATTCAAACAGCCAGACGCATGAATCTTCTTCTCGCCGTAAAGGTGTCGCAGGCCACGCCCACCAGCTGCACCGGACGATTCTGTTGCTACACACCCCAAGGGCACAGAGCACGATTGCGAATTGAAAGAAAGCTTTTTCAGTCATGAGTTTAGCTCTCACTCCGTGTTCGTTTTTCTTGACTGTCAGATGGTATAAGCAGGAGAGGGAGATCTCGTATAGTGAGACTGCGCGAGATCACTACTTAGGGTGCCCTGGAGAGTCACCTAGCAACAATAAGTTTGTAACTGAGAGCCAGATTTGCAAGTATGACGATACAAATCGTAGCGCTCACCTGAGAGATAGACTCGATGATTTGGTCGCTCAAGATTTTGCGCGGCAATTTCAGAAAGTTCCGAAAGGTTCGTCGGAAACGCGTGACCACAGCTGAAAAAAATTTTGTCCTCACCTAGGAGTACTACAACCTATGCTCTGTAACTATCGCGGACCGTGCTTTTATGAGCGTAAGGATTGCACAGTTTATACCACAGCCATCAGTCGGGTCGCATTCAGCGGTCCTCACCTGCGGCTACCTCCACAGCTAGCCGTTTATCTTCCTATTCGACATTCTTCGAGACCCACTTCGGTAGAGCAAGGCAGCTGGGGGCGGGTTCATGCTCTCCTCACGCTCCGACTGATTGCGATGTTACAAACTACAGTTATGTTCCTTTCGTGAAATAAGCAAAGTTCAACACACTCACGTCTTATAAACTTGGTCGAGTGGCTGCGGCGTTTTCATTGCCGCAGTCATAATAAACGACGATAGCAAGTTGCCAAAGACCTGACCACTGTGCACAATCATGAAGAAGAAGCCAAAAAACCTGCAAGTGTAATCTGCGCAACGGATTCCGATGAATCCAATACCAGTCCTTCCCTTTTTCTTGTTCACGTTACAGTCTTGTTCGCTGCAGATGTTGGGGCATGTCGTGAGGAAGGATTTTGCGCGGCGCCCGTAACTTCACCACCAATCACTGAAGAGGAGCGAGCAGGAACAATTAGTACCTATTCCAGCCCTTGATACGCCCCAGCATCCGCAGCGAACAAGGCATTATGTGCAGTTCTCAACAATAATCTGCTGAAGCCTTGAAAGAGATGGACACTTGCTTCCTTGACGCGAACATAAAAACACATAAGATCCAGCTCCCAAAAACTGCGCTATAGTGGTACCCATTAAGCAATCTTCCAAATATACTGCCATCATTGTATACGTCACGAAGTATTTACGCATCATATCCCTATAGGTGGGGATATGATGCGTAAATACTTCGTGACGTGCAAAAGAGAGTTCCCGCGATCAAGTGGTCCGCGAAATCTTCCGTATATCACTTTCGTCACCCAAAAGAGCGAGATGAAAAAGCTAGAGACGCGTGATCATTGCAACCACTGGAACCACGATTACATACACTGCGAAGCATAATCATTGTTCCACCCATAAATCTCACAAAATCCCGTCTTACACGACCCCCATACAGAAAATGTGGTAATTATCAATACCATTTCGCACGCCAACACCAAACTCTAGCAAAAAAAACAAATTTTTTTGGTCTATTTTTTCAAAAATGGTCGCTCTGACAACGAAGCAAAATGATAGTTCCACCGCATATTTTTCGGCTGCATCTCATTTTTGTTCGGCGAAACTCCTCATCTTTATGACTTCTCGCTTCTTCTAGGCTATGGCAAGTGGAACTTCATTAATGGACCTCGAAAAAGGACAGATTATCGCAAAGAAGGCTCAAAAACTGGTGAGGCGTCGATCGCTCGGAATTCGGGCCGCACTCATCATTCTATCAACAATCTTTTCCAAAGAACCTACAGCATATTGAGTTGAGAAGAGCTCTGGACATCCTCCTTCGCTTCCCGATCGGAAAAACCGCCGTATCTAAAGCATCCAACTCTGCAGTGTCGTGTCGGGAAATTAAGTCATCTTCGCAGATTAATGCTCGGGGGATACTGTTAGGCGTGTCTTGGAAAACTCCCGAGTTCACACACAGGAGGAATATGAGTTACGTACTGTTTCTAACTAAAAACCATCGCGAAAACCTAATTGGCTCTGCTCGAAGGTGTCGCCGAATCCAGTGGTGTGAGGTTGGCTTTTGGCTGCGGTGCCCTACTGTTGTCTGTAGTGTTTTTTTTTCAGTTTTTTTCTCGTGCTCGTGTTTTCTGATGAGGAAAATTCAACTGCGACGGCTCCGATGAAAACCGACCCCGCTAGCACGTTCCGAGGGAAGACAAGTTCCATTTTTCTGGGCGGAACTTCAGTGGATGTGGTCTCATGGTCTGGGCTGCCATCGCATTAATAGAACGTCTCAAACTGTGCTCAGTATGAAAAAGAAATGACTTCTTCCGCCATCTAAAAGTCATGCGACAAAGTCTCCTTGGTTTCTAGCGTAGGAATCAGCAAGGAAGTCCCGTTTTAATGCAGGATAATGCACCAGTTCATGACAGTTGAAGCACTCGGCGTGATTAATTTGTCACCGAACCGCTCTTTTGCCCTGGCCAGCGAGTAACCCCGACTTAAACACAATCGAGGATGTGAGGGGCTTCATGGTGCATACGATCCATGAGAGTAATGCATAATTCCACAAAATCCGTGAGCTTAGGAAGTTAATCATTGGGGCAGTCGGCCGAAAGCCTGTTAAAATCTCTAATCGAACATGGGCAACCATATTTTCCAACTTAATCGCAGAAATAGAGTTCCAATAGATTGCTGGATCAAAATTTATTCATTTTATTGTACATTTGTTGTTGAAATATTCGACTTGTTCGGTGGAACTATCATTTTGCTTCGTTGTCAGAACGACCATTTTTAAGAAAACTGACGAAAAAAACTTGTCTTTTCAAGTTAGTGTTTGTTGTTGGCATGCGAATTGGTATTGGTAAGTACCACATTTTTTGTATGGGGACATTTTTGAAAACCTCGTGTTAGACGGGATTCTGTGAGATTCATGGGTGGAACTATGATTGCTTCGCAGTGTACTTTCACTCTGCAACTCAACGGCTTACAAGCACAATTGCGTGTGTACATAGCATTGCGGAGCGTCTATGTTGATTTCCTGTATTCTTGCCGGGAATCGGTTGCACGTTGAATCCTGCAGATTGGGTTTGTCGACGTCCGACAAACTCGTGCAAGGCGCTCTCTGGTAATGAGGTCTCTGTTTAGAGTAGTCCCAAGGTTTTTTTTCGCATCTTTCCCTACTGGGTCAAAGGGGGGGGGGGTTGAGGTTATCGGCCACTGGTTCATGATTGAGCACCTACACTTCATTGCGGAATCTGTCTTCAAAGTGCACTCGGCTGCACTTTCAGGGCAACGCAGTCCACGTCATGTTCAGATCAGTAACGCAGACACACCTTCATCATCACCAGATGTGGGGTTCATATAAGGTCAAGATGGACCGAAAATGTGTAAAAGATAGAAGAAGAAGAGAGGTATTGGCTTGACAGTGCTCAGTTCCACCTGTTCATATGCTCTAACCTATCCCCAGCACTGAAAACAAGCGTTCGCCGCTGAACGAGCGAAAAGGTTCAGTGTGCTAGAAAGTCAGAAATATTGGTTACCGAGGATTCTCTTCTAATGGTCAAATTCGAGTGCTATCGTGCATCTACACATATTCTCAACAAGAGGAAGTGAGATTTTCACGAGGTCGCGATGAAGCTTGACGTACCGAACAATGACTGTGTTTTGACTTTCGATGTTCACACGAGCGAATCGGATACCCATTTCTGTGATATAGGCACATTTGGCTCCCCACAAGCAGGATCCTGAAAAAACGAGGGTCTTTGCTATATGGAAACTTGATAATTCAAAGAAGAAGTATAGCACCTGCTATTCCAGCCAGAATAGAAGCCGGAATCAGTGACGAATAGCTGGAAAATGGCAGATTCAGCACACCAAAAAGCATACAGATTCAGAAACTACTTAAGAAGCTGTTGACTATAGAATGATAAAAAGTACTACTTAATGGTTCGCCGAGAGAGTTTCAGAGCGTGCTCATCGGTGACCTGGTCTGGTACAGATAACAACAGACCAAGCCTTGGCTACATACTGAAGCTGTTTTCAAGTGGTGACATCACAACCATTGAGAAAATTCAAGCAGGACCTCCTTACCTTGACGCACTTTTATTTCGACGCCCTTCGATATGAAGCTCTCGCTTCACTCCCACATCTCTTACTCCTCTGCCAGAATGAAGAGGTCCTTTAGATGGGTATTTAGGTCTATACCCCAAACAATAGCCTCAAAACAATAAAAAAACCTGGAAAACCTGTATTCTCTCCGAAAACTTCAAATGCCCAGATTCTTTTCTGCAGAACAAGTATGGCTCCCTCTCCTCTACGACTAAAATACGGCTACTATTAGGTCATCCCATTTAAAAGTGCCGTCGGTTTCGTTCGAATAAAACAAAGAGGAGAATAGATAAAAAAGTAATATTTTGGCTTCGAGTTAAGTAAATCCCTCTTTCACCAATGACCCGCTCCCAGTGCCCCGGAAGCCTTTGGTCCTATGCTACCTTGTAGCGAAAACGCTACCTTAAATGCAATATGGTAAACTTTATTCAAGTGTTCAAGCTCATTCAAGTTGTGCTGAGTCTCAGTATGTATGGCTTACTCGTTCACTGCAGAATAATCGTCATTCAATCTTTCCTCCAAGCTATCGATCGAATGGTCAAAGTGCAAGAACGCGCGGGAAAGAGCCCTATATAAGGGCAACTCTGAGCAGAGACCGGTCGCTCTGTGCTCTCTCCTCTGCACTGATCTCGTCGATCCTTACGCAATATCCGCTGCACATCAATATTCACTATTCGGTGCAACTGCAATAGGAGGTTAACAAATATGATATGCTACATGGTATTCTAGTTATTCTACTGACCGGTGAAGTTGGATAATAAACTAATTACTCTTTCTTCTCCAGAGAGCAATATAACCAATATCGTCAATATCAAATCAATCAATAAATCAATATCCGCGTGGCCAGTGGCAAGACACTGAAGCGTGAGCTTCCCCACAAATTTGGTGCATCGGCTTCTATAAGGCTGGTGCGTAAGTTCTTAGCCCCGTGTTTGATACCTCCGTATTTCGTTTGCATGGATGTTGGTTTGTCGTCATCACGTGTGGCGACGTGGGCACTATATTCTTTTATCATACTAGCCATCAATCACCCACCTTGCATTCGCAGACCAAAATGACGCACAATTCCACTGTGACAAAATGTGCCTGCGCCACTGCCTGGCTACTTCACGATTCACAAAAGAAGCTTCACTCTCTCAACTCGATAATCACTAGAGATGAGCAGTTGGTCCTCTACGATAACCATGTGAGGAAGCGGCATTGGGTCAAAAAAGGAAAACAGCCAGAGGCCACACCAAAGGCTGACCCTTACCCCAAGAAGGTTCTCCTGTCCTGTTGGTGGTCCAGAAGAGGCATGGAGTACTATGAGCTGCTGGAGAAGGGACAGACGATTATCGCTTCCACATAGCTACCCAGCTGCGCAAATTGAAGGATCACGTTGACCGTATTCGTGGATCGAATGCGGAAATCTACTTCCACCATGAAAACGCCCGACCTCACACCGCAAAGGCGACCCAGGCCGAGCTGGAGAAGTACGGATAGCTAATGGTCGCTTAGCCCCCCCTAGAGCCCTGACATCTCTCCTTCTGACTACAGGCTGTTCAGCCACCTGCAGCGCTCTCTGGATGGAAAAAAAAGTTGGAAACAAAGGATCAGGTCAGAGAGGCTCTCAACGACTTCTTCGAATCCCATCCCCCGTCGTTCCTTGAGGACGAAGTCGACAAACTGCCTGAGCGCTGGCGACGAGTAGTTCATGGTGATGGGGCATACATACCTCTAATCTTCAGGCTGGTTCGCTATTGAGACATTTACGAAAAAAGTTGTGGCTAAGAACTTATGCACTAACCTAATACAAGATCCAGGTCGGATTTTTTCTCCTTCAAATCAGAGACTGCGATCGCTTTACCTTTTCCTCTTCGCTTCAACATAATAATACACTATCATTACTCAATACTGCAAGCAATATATTCAAGTCGGTACAACATATACAATATCTTATGAATGTCTTATCAGTATTGAAAACAATAATAGCAACATCAAAGATATGTCCGAAATCGGCACACAAAAACGAATTGTATCGACTTTTACCAACTGGACTGCATCATCTCTGAACTGGAGGAAGCAAATATGGATGACATGTCGAGGGAACCACCTTCTATCCGAATGAGCCGAAGGAACCAATCAGGAAGATCGAAGAAGGACATAGTTGCCTAACCAACGCATCATCCAAAGTTGAAAACAGTCAAGCAGTTATGCATTGACAGTGGATGCCCTCGAATCGCTATCTCGGGAAGAAATGGATGCCTATGAGGAGTACGCTTGCAAAGCAGAATCAGCGATATCTCGCGCCTTTGATATAAGTAATCTGCTGCAAGCTCGACTCCTCTCGCTCAGAACTCAAATGGCATCAGCTTCACCGACACCCGCACCAGTTGGCCAAAAGCCGCACCTTATCAAAATTGAGACAAACAACTGGAACTCCCTCCGCTCCCCATACCGTCGTTTTCCGGAAACTTGTGGGAGTGGGGAAATTTTTGGGAGCTCTACAACGTCAACATACATTCGCAAGACCTGCCTCAAATGGTCAAGTACAACTACTTACTCAGTGCTCTCAAAGGACAAGCGAAAGAGTCAATAAACAAATTCCAACTCACCAAGGATAATTATGACAAGGTGGTACAGTTCTTGCTGAAGAAGAACAACAGAGATCTCGTCGTGAATCAGCTTGTCCAAAAGTTAGAGAGAAGCGCACTCAAAAGCAAGAGGATCAACGATCGCTTTTGGAAGAAATCCAAGCAATCATCACAGAAACATCTTGTAAGAACACGGAAAAGTTTTTGCAACTTTGGCAAACTCAATCCCTAGCCAGCCTTCGAGAAAAGCACACTATAAAGAGGAAAAATTCGAGAAGCACTGGTGAGACTACCTAGCCGAAGAACAATACGACGTCCAGTAGATCTTCTAATTTCTCTTGAACTCGAAGACAGTTCCACTCCAAGTGGAGATGAAGACCAGCATACAGGAAATATTGTTGAAGAGGAGAAGGATGGAGTTCAGCGAGTACGACTACGAACTCATCTCCAAGGTACAATCTTAGACCTTGCGAAAGGACAAGTTACAATGAATGCGAGAATGACCAAACGAACGACGAAAAAGAAGTTCATTAATCTCAACTATGCTGCTCGCAACATCGCTTCTGCAGACTCTAGTTTTATGTATTCTATGTTCTGCGTCCTTCGCAATTACGACAAGCAATCACAATAAGTCAAGTGCGGTAGAAGCAATAACACAATGTAACATCTTCCTTCCCGCACCCACCACAGCGGACAAAAGAACTTATAATGAAATATACATGTCAGAAATAAACAATATTTTTCATTGCACTTACTCAATAATAATTGAAATCAATATCCTTGTCGACAATCAGTCCTATCCTGCAGAAGTCAATTTCGTTCAAGGGATTTTCACCTTTGCAGGACCTCGCCATTATGTCACACAAAGCTCACCAACAAGGAAACGAATACAGAGAGGGAGAGCTTCATCTTCCTTTCCATTCTGTGCAGAGAAGCATTATCGGCAGACACCTTAGAAAAGGGAATGGAAGCCACGCTCAAAGAAATCAATGCGCACGTCAAGATGGCCGACACTTTGGATTCTCGACTGTCGCATCATGTGCTGACTACTGAACGTGCTCGAAATTCACAGAAGGAGAACTGGCAATGTCGTCGGCACGTCTCTGGAAAACCTCCACGTGCGCGAAAGAAAAGCTTCTAAGCTTTACCCAGAAGTACATGATGCTGGTGGACTCAATATATCGCATCTTGGTCGACAACGAAAAGATCTTGCCGAAGCATGGAGTCAAGTAGTCGGAAAATCAGGAGCACAATGCAAGGAGAATAGCCGCTCGCATTCAAGAGCATTTAACTCGGTGGATCGCAACATCTCGGACATTGAGCACGAACTAACTCAAGCAGAAAAGAGGATTCAGGATGAAAAGGTGGAGAACAAGGAGCAGTTCGTGTCAGCGTTCAACAAGGCTGTAGGAAGACCAGAAGGAAATGGAAGAGATCGTGTTCAAGCTCAAAGCAGATATACAGAACAACGAGAAATCAACACCAGCGAAAAGAAAGATTGAAGACGAAGTCGAAGAGGAACCTACACGCAAGAACAGAAAACTTTTGAACGATGACTATATGGGCAAGCTGATCGCAGAAAACAAAGACAGTCAGGAAAACGAAAAAGTGGACGATCAAGAAAGAACCAAGCAACACCTGGAGCACCTTGAGAGAACCCTCGACGCTCTATATCGGGGAAGGATTCTACTGCCCCACAGAAAGATTGGAGAAACTTCCAGCGCACGACTCACATCAAGTGCGCTTTCTGTGGGCAATACTGCAGAACAACCTCTGTCACTTCTGCCTGAAGGACAACCACAGTCCAATGAGTGCAGAGCCGTGGAGAAAAACTGCTGGTATTGTGACAAGGTCAATGGCACAGCTCTCGAGTTCCTAATTTATGATGACGGTGGGCACAACAGAGCCCTGTGCAATATCTCCGACCCGAAGGACAAAGTCTCGGAAAGAATCAAAGAAGTAAAGGAAGAAATAAACAATATCAAGTATCAATAAACTGCGCCCGGAGTGTAGCGAAAACGCTAACTTAAATGCAATATGGTAAACTTTATTCAAGTGTTCAAGCTCATTCAAGTTGTGTTGAGTCTCATATGTATGGCTTACTCGCTCACTGCAGAGCAATCGTCATTCAATCTCTCCGCCAAGCTCTGTCGAATGGTCAAAAGTGTATGAACGCGCGAGAAAGAGCCCTATATAAGGGCAACTGTGAGCACAGACCGGTCGCTCTGTGCTCTGTTCTCTGCACTGTTCTCGTCGATCCTTACGCAATATCCGCTGCACATCAATACTCACTATTCGGTGCTACTGCAATACGAGGTTAACAAGATATTCTACTTGGTGTTCTAGTTATTCTACTGACCGGTGAAGTTGGATAATGAACTAATTACTCTTTCTTCTCCAGAGAGCAATATAACCAATATCGTCAATATCAAATCAATCAATAAATCAATATCCGCGGGGCCAGTGGACTCAGGACACTGAAGGGCGAGCTTCCCCACATACCTTCGATTTTTCAACAAGTGCGAGTAGATTGCTGTTGATGTCAATTTCGGCGAATGACAAAACGTTGTAGCGATTGCCGTCGGAGAGTCCCCTCGACTGACTAGAACAGATAAAGTAGCACGGCCGTATGTGGGGCGAATAAGACTATTGGACCCAGCTCTCAGTATTGTTTGTGTCCCAGCACTGCCCTACAATACAGCTACTCTCAGTCTGGCACTATGACGAGCAACGGTGGCCTTTGTAGTTGTGTGGTTTCATCCGTTTGTCAATCTGATTGCCGAGGAACAGGCAATATACACCGACAGTTACGATTTTATTCTCTGTACAGAGCTGCCAGAAAGCCAGAGTGTAGGAACTCTTCGCTATGATGATCATCCAATTGTGCCCACCTAACTCTTCATGGTAAAACTCGGGCGGCTTCTCATCTTCATTGATACAAAATTATGATTGTGAGTTTTGACTCGAGGTGGAAGACCACACATATTTCATATAGGGCCGGGGTGCATTTTCGTTTTTCGTTTTTCATTTTTGTTTTGCGCACACCGTCTTGACCATCCTCAATTCATGGGATATAACTCGGGCAGCGGTTGCAGCAGGGATGTCAGACCCGCAGGGAAGCTCTACAAAGGTCCAGGCTCTGTGTTCAGACATGCAGCGCTTCACTTCATCATCCGAATTCGGGCGGCTTCTCATCTGCATTCATAAAATCGAAGTGAGTTTTGGCTCGTAGTTCACAACCACCCATTCTTCATCTAGGACCGAGGTGCGTTTTCACGGTTGCGAATGACAACTTATGCGGAGAATATTACTGCTACAGGCAAGAATTGAAACTTTGTGCTTCTATTAGGTTGTCCCAAAAGTTCCGGGACACTTTTTTGAATATCGCGCCATTCCCTTTGTAGTGATTATGAAATCAAGATTTTTGATTTATGTAGGAGTGATCATATAAGCTACCTACAGCCGATTCATCGACCCTTGTAGCTTCTGTCCTGTTGGAAAAGAATGGCAGATGAAAGTTGCACATTCGTCATGTTTTGCAGTACGAGTTCCAACTGGGCCACAGTACACGTGAAGCTACACAGAACATCTGCTCTGCGTGTCCTGATGCTGTCTCTCATAGTGCGGTGGGCAGATGGTCCGATCGTTTTCGCTCAGGTGACTACAACCTGGAAGACAAACCTCGGTCAGGTAGGCCATCTCTGTTGGATTTGGTCGGCTGCGATCCCTGATTGAAGCCAATCCATACGAGACAACTCGCTCACTAGCCGAGACCATTGGGTGCTCCAGGAACACGGTCGATCGAGGTCTCCGCTCCCTTGGAAAAGTATTGAAGCTCGGTCAATGGATTCCTCATGAGTTGACAGATCAGCAAAGGAATAGACGCGTCGACTGCTGCCTAAAACTTCTCTCCCGCTCCCGCCGTACGGACTGGCTCAACAATGTTGTCACCGGAGATGAGAAGTGGTGTCTCTATTGAATCATACCCGGAAATTCCAGTGGCTAGATTCACTAGAAAGAGCAGAACCGGTCGTGAAGTCCGGCCAATCCGCGAAGAAAACCATGCTCTGCATATGGTGGGGCGTTTATGGAGTGTACCACTGGGAGCTTCTTCCCCCCAATGCTACTGCGACCAGTGAGCTTTACTGTAACCAGCTACGAAGTCTGGCCGAAAAACTCCAAAATATGGCTTTGCGGCTCAACAAAATATACCTCCTTCACGGCAACGCAAGGCCACACGTTTCAAAAATGACACAGCTTAAGATCTTGAAGCTCGGCTGGGAAATCCTGCCCCACCCTCCTTATAGCCCTGACTTGGCTCCTTCCGACTGCAACCTCTTCCGGTCCCTCAGCAGCTATCTGGCCGGGAAGAATTACGATTCTCAGGAGCACCTCAAACACGACCTAGCCTCCTTTTTCAGCTCGAATCCGGAGAGCTTCTGGGAAAGAGGCATCCACTCTGTTGGCAACAAGTCGTCGATGGAGGTGGTACATATATTGTTGACTGATATTGCTAGCTGATGAAATAAATTTGGAGTGAAAAAAAGTTTGAAAGTGTCCCAGAACTTTTGGGACAACCTAATACGAAGAAATTATCCACACGCCCACCCTCTTGACCATCCTCAATTTATCGGACATAATTAGAGCAGCGGTTGCAACAGGGATGCCAGACTCGCGAGTAAGCTCTACAAAGGTCCAGGCCCTGTTAACAATCAGCGCTTCACTTCATCCACCCTTTTTTCTTGTGCAGTATGAACATTATGGGACCATCCACGGGAACAAAATTTTTTTCTTTCTTCCTTTTTCGGGCTCCTCAAGCAAACCTTCCACCTTGTATATCGAGAACGCCATTACACACAACTACCGGTCCAGCGCAGGTCAAATTTGAGCACTTCCCTCTTATGACGTCTGATTTGAAAACCGGGCGCTGACTTTTACCACTCGGGCTTCTTTTCAATTTCTCGAGAATTTCTTCTGCGGATAGGTTCGCCAAATTTCACAGATACACAGCTAAAGGTACTAGCCTCCAAATGGTATAGTAGCCCGCTTCCCTCTCACCTTTGCGTTTGTGCCATTCCTCTATATGTCTCGGCACTTTTGAATGGGATGACCTAATAAATAAAGTTCTACAACTGTGACGTCAAAGCCTGCCCGAAGCGTGACATTATTACGCATCAGCTAATCATTCAGAATGATGCTCGAGTAGTTAATCTCGAGTGCGAGTCGCAAAGGTATGGGAATATTCTTTATGAATTGGCGGAATGGGGTTTTTTTGGTAGTAATGCGCAGCGGCAGAAGTGCTCGTGGTCCATCCAAAAATCTGAATTATCCAAAGTAAAAACTAGATATTATTGTTTGATGACTGCGGTTTAACGTTGCAGTGCGGATGGATTAAGGGCAGGCTGCCACCTACCTGTGACTCATCCAATTCTGAAAAAAACAATCACCTCACCTTGGACGAATGTTAACAGCCATATAAAACACATGGCTGCTCATAGCAACGATCAGAGTGAGTTTACAGCCAAGCCGATTAATCATATAGGTGGGCACAAACAAAGAGGAAACAGCCAAGGACAAGTAAAGTACGCTGAAATAGGTACGTGTATGTTTATATTCTCTAGAGGCTGAATGAGACAGTACCAAAGTAATTCATAGGAAAGAAATGGTGTACAGTTCTCCTTATTCAGTCCTGATCTATTATTCGTATGTTTTGAATGTCTGCGATAGCTTAATAATGCCGTGATCTTCTCTTGTGCCTTCTTCTTATGCATTGCTTCTGTGACATCACGATGATTCTTTTGCACCCTACACCTGAGTGCGTAAAGGGGTTTGACATATGTAGCTGCTAGCGCGGCAACGGCTGCGAGTCGAGACTGAAGAGAGGCAGCGGCGCTGGTCCAAAAGGGAAGCTCGGCAGGGGAATACGCAACTGGCTCCATTCTCGCAGCGATATCCGGGACGTCCTTTTCACACTCCAATACGAACCTTACTTTCGCCCATGAACCAACTTGGAATGATGAAACTGTTGTCAAACGGTTTGATCTTCTACAGTCTTCCTGCACTCCCAGAACTTTTCTTTCATTCCTGCCACTCTCTGCACCACCTTATTATCTATTATTTAGATTCGTTGCCACAAGATAGCACCGATTTCAACAAAGGAGTAGATTGAGCGGCCTTGTGCCGAGACCAATAAAAGTGAACTCACGCAAGGCTATCCGCTCCAAGATCATTATTCACTGAAGTTTGTAGATTTGAGAGACCGTTGAAAGCCGAGAAAAGGAACAAGAACGCCACCGATATGACGAGAAGATTGGCCTTAATCAAGGGATCAGTTATTTCCTAATCATCAGATGCCAGTTGTAAAGGGACAACCAAACCTTCTATCGAGGACGTGATTTCAGGCCCACATTCTAAGCTTCGTTGTTATGGGGCTATTCCCGTCTGATTCCTGTGAAGTTTCAAACTCAGGTTATACTAAGGAAATCCACCCTGTGGGGACTCGGAATGAGGTTCATCAGAGGGTTCATTAAACATGACATGTAGACCTGAAAACACATCCCATGCCAGGTAAAGGGACAACTGACATTCCTAGCTGGTGCACCCCGCTAAAGCTGGACTCATCCCAAAGGTGTCCCATGCAGTGTGCGGGTTATAAAGTAACGGCACCCGAGATTACCATCCAGCCCTCCAGTGCACCTTTGACTGGAGAAAGTGGCACGCTGCTGCAGCTGCGAACCCATTCCACTCGCTTATGGCAAGGATACACGTAGCTGGGTTTACAGTTTGTCTTTGGAACCATCTATAAGAGGGCGGTCTAACTGGAGCACAGGCAACGATTCTTTTTTTGACTGGAGACTTCATTTACGCAGCTCTTTTGCTTCCGAGCCCCACTCCCACGAATTGCAATCGCTTATTGCCTTCAGGTAAGAGATCCCCTACCAACTTTATTTGTACATATTCAACCTATATATCAAAAATAACTAGGATCGAAAAGGAGCCTACTGACCTTGATCTTCTGCATAGTCTTCGCAACTTTGATTTTCTCATTGCCACTCAGCATTGCACGCTTCTTCTTCCGAATGATCTTCGCCAAGAAATCTTGACTGAATTTCAAGTATGCAAGTTAATAACCTTGAACGCAATGCCAGGCAAGCCAGCCGACGTTGGTAACTGACTGGTAAAGATATCCGGTGCTTTCTGGTATGTCGTCATGGTCTACACTAGTCATCAGGTGCTGCATGGTGACGAGATGCTGACGGCGAGCAAACCGTCGACGACTGCCATGAACAGGACAGAACGGATCATATTCGGGTAGCCGGGCTACCTAGGAGCTGACTCTTCAGTAATAATAATAGTAATTATACGTACTATAGAATTATACGAAATGTGCAGCCTGTGCTGCTGAAATCCTATTCACAATTGGAATTTTGAAGCCGTTGCTCTTCAGCAACACAAACTTTCACCTAAATGTAAGAAATGCTGTTTACCTCACTAACTGCTTCCCGTTGCAGTTGCTCCTCATCACTGAAAGAGGCGCCTCGAAAAAGGTAGGCGCTGAAATGAGAAGCCCTCATACCGTCATTCTTCATTTCGAAATAAAACCTCTTAGCTACAAGAATCACTATCACTAGCAAAATAAAACAGCAAAAAGTTTCAAGAGGAAGCAGCAACTAATATTTGCACTCTATTGTTGAAGAATACGAATAGGAATATGAAATATGGTACTGATGAAAATAACGTAGAGTTTGGATGAGGGGAGTAGATTGCCAGTTCACTAGTATCACTAGCTTCCTCACCTTGGTGAGAAACTCCTGAAACCTGTGAAATAGAAGAAGTTCGCCCTAGCCGCTTTGCTTACAAGGGAAGGATACCAACTTGCAATGACCATTCAGGATGAGATGTATACTGTGAGAAGCGCCTTCGAACGCTGATATCAGATCGGACATCCAAATCCGCTAAGCGATTCTGGGAAAGAAGTCACGGACCTTTGTTCCTACTGTGCTTAACCATTGCGGTGCGCCTCCTGCCCATACTTTGCGCCTGTGAAACCCTCGTGACACAGACGCTGTGGTTCGATGGACAGGAAAAAAGGTTCGTAAGTCCTCTTCTAGAATCGTTTAGCAAATGTGGAACCAGACCTGATACTGCCAGATCTGATAGCGTCCAAAGACCTTTCTAGGAATGTACATCTCATCCTGCATGACCATGGCGAGTTAGTATCCTTCCCTTGTTTGACCAGTGAACCCCTGTGACCGTATTGCATGGGCCTCGCTACGTACGGACGTATTAGTCGTAAACGTGCTTACAGATAATCACTGGCCCGTACAAATTCAGATGGGTAGCTTCGCGAACGTTTGGGAGTTTTCTCATTGCTAAGGACTAGCAAAGGGCCCCAGGAAGATTTTTCAGTGCACTAACAACAAAGTTCGTTATATAATGTTCGCTTATCAGTGTAAGAGTCACGATGTGGGTGCTGCATCTACAGGCTTGTTCGCTGCCGAAGCTGGAACCCAGGTTTGGCGCGGCGCCAGTTTTTACCCTAACAATCATTGCCGCTTGCTTACTTTAAAAATAGGTGGGGAACAAATTGCGTCATGCCGAACCCGGTCTTTGTCATGACGCATCATCCACAGCGAACAAATCTGTACAATCCACTCCTGATACGCGATAGAGGAGGCGGCGTACTTTATGTAAAAATAGTGAAGTATGGGTTATTCGGGCAATATTTTAATCCAGTCAGGCGTCATCTTGATCTCATTGAAAGTGCAGCCACCGCCACGCTCGAATGAAGTAGGCAGCAACCCCCCACCGCGCACCAAGGATTTCAGGTACTTCTTAGCTGGCTGACTCGACATACAATACACTCTCATGCCGAAGCGCTCAGATCACGGTTGGAACGCCTCGCCTGGCGCCTCTCGCAATGTTGCTTTTGCCGCGTCGTCGACATGTTAATGTAAGTTCTCACTTCACCAGTATTAGGTTGTTGCAGAAGTTCTTTTCCCCGTATTTTTTGTAAATATCTCAATAGCGAACCAGCCCGAAGATTAGAGGTATACACAATCACTATCCACTACTCGACGCCAACGCCCAGGCAGCTTGTCTATTCCATCGTCCCAGAAGGGCGGGGGACATGGACCCGAAGAATGCCGTAATGCCGCAAGTCACCACTGTGACATGGTTTTGCACTGGTCGTGAGGCATTGTAGCCTGCAAATGCAGGATGGGTGAGTGATAGCTAGTGTAGTGAAAGAGTATCATGTACACGTCACACACACGTGATGACGGAATACCAATGCAATACTATGCAAACGAAATACGGAAAGATCAAATCAGGGGAAAAAAACTTATGCAACAACCTACTACTAATAGTGTGGTCAGTACCCTCTCAGTAAAAAAAATAGAATAATAAGGTGTTGAAACAGAATGATGGGGTGAGCGTCAAGCATTAAAATAAACTTGAAAAGTGAAAAAATGAAGTAACCATTTCTCTTGTCGCGATTCCGTCGGAGGTAGCAAAACTCTCCCTAGATCTCGGAATGAGAACGGTTTTGGTTCTTGGAAAAATTCTCTTGGCCTGAAAAAAAATGTTTCCAACCTTCATTTAGAACAAGGCTCTTTTTTTACGAAACAACTGGAGAAGTTCAACGTGTATTTCTTTTGAAGACACACGAAAATCTTGTAATTCGAGTTTTGTGGCATTACATAGTGGCAACACTGATTTCTGTCTTATTATTTTAGGGTGGCAGTGGCAGGAACACTTTGACATATTTCTGAGATTAAGCGTTTTTTGCGAGAAAAAATTGGGAACAAATGTAGTCGTTTTCGCTTCAGAGCCGGGATATCACGAGAATAGCGGGTTTGGCGCGGCACCAGCCCTCCTACACCAATCGCAGCTTGCCCGCTTCAAAAATAGGTAGTGAACGGGCTGGCGAGCTGGTGCTGCGCCAAACACTGCTTTCCTGACACATCTTAGCGTCTGTAGCGAAGGCAACAATACATCCACGATTGCTTGTCTTTGAAAGGTCCTTGTCAGCATTTGGCGAATCGCGTGCCATCGCATCGCAGTGCAAGCTAGTGCAAGAAAAGTAGGGTGCCAACCCGATATTCACGTCGACTTGGGTGGCGGCTTCTGGTCCACGGAAAGGCAATGTCTGGCCTGTACGAGAGCTCAGGGTGAGCCATGCAGCGGCAATCAGGGTACAGCATCGTGATGGTGAAGTAGGTGTCAGTACGACCCCCCCCCTCTCTCGAGGGAGAGTATTGGTACGACCTCCCCCTTTTCCTCAGCACCCATCTACCACTTTCCCATATTTTCTAGTTTTCCACGTAGAAATTTTCCTTCAGGCGGGGGAGGGAGGCAGTATATAGTACACTAGTAGTACAGTATATAGTAAAGAAGAAAATCACGGAAAGAGGAGCCAACAAAATTTTTTCCCCAACGCGGCAAATTTCTCTCGAAAGCACACATGACCCCCCAGCTCTCCCAACTCCCATACGCCGCCCTCTAAATAAAACAGTACGACCCCCTATGTGTTTCGGACAACGATAGTTTCACAAGCCACAGCCCCTACAAATTGGGTCATGGGCACTGACACCTGGTCTTAAGGCTGCAGACTCCTGTTCAAAGCATTGCTGTCGGACAAGCCCACTAACTGGGAGCACGGTCTTTGAACGACTTTTACCTTGACCTCGGCAGATCTCATGCCCGAGCCATATTGTTATAAGAAACGATTAGAGGGCACAGGTGCGACGCTCCTGAGCGGATTTTTTGTCCATACATTGGGAAAGGAATTAGTAGTGAACAGTGCGCGACACTAGCAAAATTAGTTTATTTTGGGTTCTGTAGCTCACCTTATCCGTTACGCCTTTTGAGATTTTGGGCGAGTGTTTGAATAGGGCCAAAATTTCTCGTCAACCTTGTATGCGACACTTTTATATGCAGAATCTCTACAAGTGAACATCATTTTGAGCTTACCTCTTGCAGCATGCTTCTAATGGAATGAGATCGATTTCAGTCTCTTTGAAGAGCAGCAGTGCCGGCTCGCGTTTCTTAGTGATTGCTCCCAGTTTTTGCAGCACATGAATGGACGCTCTGCGAAGCGACTCGAGAGCCGGTGATCTGAATGTGAGCGGTTTGATACATGTTTTCATTCGAAATCAGAGAAAATAAGGGAAAGGGCTTCCGCAAGAGTGCTGAATTATGGGCCGAAGACCATGGCCATCGCCAGAACCCAAACCTCGATCGTAGGGCTCACGTTTTGGCTTGCTGCCAAAAGCGCTCAGCGTTTGTTATAGATGATGACAAATCCGATTGATATTTGAAATCGCGGAGGAGTTCGAGCACGTACTCGGCCTACAGAATGACTCAGCGGTAGTCAGTTGATACTCATAGTATACTGTTGCTCTCATCCTCCAGACGGCGCTACTATTAGGTTGTCCGGAAAGTTCTCAGCGTTTTGTGCACCTATTTTTTGTACATTCACTGCTGATTAAAAACTCAATCTGCCTTGCTTCTCAGTAGCATATCCTGTAGAGAATTTCTTGCGCTATCTGATGGTATGATTGCCGTTTCACCATTGCTTGACAAACCCCCTTTTTTCAAGATTTTTTTCAAGCATGTAAAAAGAGCACTTCGGACGATTTTTTTCTTCGACTATAAACTGGGGCAATCCGCAATCAAAACAGCTCAACAAATTAACCAGGTGTAGGGGCCCAAAAGTGCTAGAGAAAGCACTGTGCGGCAATGGTTCAACAAATTTCGTTCTGGAGATTTCAGCCTTGAAGATGAACCTCATAGCGGTCGACCTAAAGCAATATCTGACGAGGATTTTGGGGGGATTTTGGAGGCTGACCCATCCCAAACAGTTCGAGAGATAGCAGAAGAGCTAGGACTTGGCAAATCCATGTTGCAGATGGTCTGGAACGCATTGGGAAGGTGAAAAAACTCGACAATTGTGTGCCCCACAACCGGAGTGACCGACAGGAATCGGCACGTCTCGAGGTTCCTTCTGCATTGCTTTGCGCAGCAGGAACGACCTGTTTTTATACCGAATTGTCACCTGTGATGAAAAATGGGTCATGTATGATAACAGGAGACGTTCCGGACAGTGGTTGGATTTCGACGAACCACCGAGGTAATTTTCAAAGCCGAACCCTCACGAAAAAAAGATTCTGGTCACGGCTTGGTGGTCACCGGTTGGTGTGATCCACTATAACATTTTATCACCAGGCCAGACCATCACAGCAGAACCCTGCTGTGAAGAAATCAACGAATTGTACCGAAAATTTTGTCAGATGCAGCCAACACTTATCAAAAGAAAGGGTCCGATCCCTTTGCATGACAACGCCCGCCCACACGTTTCAATCACTATCCATAAATTGAACAAATTGGGGATTGGTTCCACCTCAACCGCCATATGCTTCAGACCTTTCGCCAACCGACTATCACCTTTTCTAGCATTTTCAGAACTCCCTTGCTGGAAAATACTTCATCAATCTGGACCAGGCAAAAAAGCCTTCGTGGATTTCGTGAACTCTCGACTACCCATTTTTTCACTTTGAGATTTCTCGACTGCTATCACATTGGCAAA